ACATACCAAGCAAGAGGAAATGCTTTGGTATAAAGTTGTTTGTGCTTTGTGATTGTTACAGTGGTCTGGTATTGGATATTATTGTGTACACTGGAAGTTATACATTGCAAAATACCAGGAAGTTATTGGGCATCTCTGGTGATGTGGTTAGAACAATGATAGAACCATACCTTGGTAAGGGGCATATATTATATACTAATAACTGGTACACAAGCCCCTCACTTAGTGATTTTTGTGAGTGAACATGACAGATGTGTGTGGCACATTGCATGCAAATTGTAAACATATGCCCAGGTTTGACGCTGACACTCGTAGAGGTGAGGTGCAGGCGTTTGTTGCCAATGACATCATGGCATTTCGGTGGCATGACAAACGAGATGTCACACTGTTGTCAACAGTTCACCCTAATGAAATGACGAACACTGGCAGGCAGCATAGAGACAGCAATGAACCCATTCTAAAACCTGCAGCTGTGAGTGATTACACTCTTAATATGCACTCAGTGGACAAATGTGACATGCAGATTGGGTTTGCTGATTGTGTTCGCAAGAGTTATAAGTGGTACATAAAACTCTTTTTCCATCTTCTGGACATTTCCATGCTCAATGCTTATAATATGTATAAGATGAGGACCAGAAACAAACCACCATATGGCGAATTCTGTTTGTCTGTCATCAGACAAATAGTACTCAAGTACCAAGGAACAACACCTGCAATAGAAAACTGCCCACTAAATTATCAACAACCACCTTCTCGTCTGAAGCATGGTGATCACTTCCTAGTAAAATTGCCTGCTACTGCTTTCAAGAAAATGGCTCAGAAGAGGTGTTACGTCTGTGCACATACAAAAAAACCGCCCATAACAACGCAGAGACACTAGTTTTATGTGTAAGGAGTGTAAAACACCACTGTGCATGACACCATGTTTCAAAGACTTCCACAGGCTGCAGAACTTCTAGAAACATTCCCTGTGACTGTATTTGTGTATATAAAATATATAGTAATAAACAACATTTCATATCGTCTGTGTGTGTAAACAACAATTATAAACAATATAAGGACAACAGTGTTTGTGCAGTTATTGTGTAGTAAATAAAGAGAAAAAACTTAAAAAATAGTGCTCATATTGGTCTCACAGGCTATAAAAGTTACTTAAAACAAAATAAAAAAAATAGAAAATAATACCAAAAAACTAAATAAACTAAAACTGGGTGACCTGCAGTCGGCGATGTTGCCGCATGCCGGTCATTTTCTGTCAACTTCACGCCTTCATATCTCGGTAAGTATTGATGGTAAAAAATTTTTTTTTAGCCTATAAGATTAAAAAAAAACTATCTTTTCATAAGAATTTTTTTTTTTTTAAATTTTGGCGACCCTGAGAACAACTCTGGGAGAAGGCCTGTCGACCCTGAAAGGGTTAATTTAGCTTATCTATTAACCCGTAAATGGTCCAAACGTATATATATATGTTTTTTCAACATTTGAAAGTATGTAAAAAGAGTAGATTTTTTTTTTTTTACATTTGAAAACATGTAAAAAACTTTGATCTACTTTTTTTTTTTTTTGTTATACAAGTGATCCCCCGTTAAGAGTTGTGTCTATATTGGTCTCTGTCCCTCCTACAAGGAAGGATGTAATGAATGGTTGAGTGTGTGTGTTTTGTATTTGAAAATATGTAAAAAAAACGTAGATCTACTTTTGGAGCACTATGCATATGAATGTAGATCTGACTGGACCGTTTACGGGTTAATTTACCGAAAATTCCTTGAATTTTTTCTGTTTTCTTTAATTAAGAAGTTGAGAGTATAAGGAATTGTACTATATGTATCTCGAGAGTGCACACGGTTTATACCATAATGCATAGAGATCTTGTATAATAAATGACCATCTTGATTCACTGATAACTGTACAAGCAGCACAGGTGAGTATGCATCAAAAGCATCAAAACAGACATATAAAGATACATAATGTGTTGAAAATTCAAAATGAGAAGATGCATGAACAAAATTACCAAAGATTAATATCAAACTCATTCACACACCCTTTGCATCACAGTCTGGCAAGCGCCTAATCAGTTCATTTGCGAATCTGGAATTTTGGTAGCCCATTTGTTTTTGGCAGATTCATTATCCTTAGGGGTTCCTGATATAGGATTTGAAGAATGCCACCATGGCAGCATTGACCTTTAACCCTTTCAGGGTCCAAGGTCAAAATCTGAAGTGGTGCCCCAGTGTCCAAGAATTTAAAAAAAAAAAAAAATTGTTATTTTTTCTTATGAAATGGTAGAGAATCTTTTTGTGAATGTAATAAAACAAAAAGTACGAAATTTGATGGAAAATTGACGAAATTATGCTCTCGTGAATTTTGATGTGTCAGCGATATTTACGAATCGGCTATTTTGCCAACTTTGACTCCCATTTTAGGCCAATTACATTATTCCAGTCGACCAAATTCTTAGCTATTTCACTAGTATTACTTCTATTCTACCGATTGAGCACAAGAAATCACCAAGTCAACTGTTTCAACTACAAAATAGAGTGACCGGAAATTGGTAATTTGGCCAATTTAACACAAAGTTCAAAATATTCCAATTTCAAAATAGGGTCCAGAATAAACAATGTAGGTATTCCTGGCACTAAACTAACATTTCCTCTGTTCATTAGTTATGTTTTGAGGCTTTACAAATAAATTCCATTTTGATTTTTTATTCACATAATGAATTTTTATTCACACCAAAAAATAGAAGATTTACTGTTATGCAATATTGTAATAATTGTATAAATATCATCACCACATTTGTGAATGTATATTAGACCCACCAGCTGGCGTGTATTAGACGTGTGAGGTCGTTTGTTTACTCTTGAACATCGGCAAAAATTTAACATTTCCGCCACTTTGAGCTCAATTTCAAGCCATTTCCAGTGCTAACACCAATCAAAATGATCTCTATTTCTGTAATATGTCTTCCATTCTATCAAATGAGACCAAGAAATCACAAATACAACTATAAAAAACATACGAAAAAACACTGCAAAGTCACTGTTTTAATCGAAAATCATGGTCTCGGTTTTTTTTCTCTCATTATACACAGTGTGCTGCAGGATTTGTTTTATGTGGTGCACACATACCACATAGATGTAGTCTCTCATATCTAGGCCCAAATTTACCACTCACAGTTTATCAGAGTGAGCTGAGCTCATGACGTAGATCTACGGTTTGGACCCTGAACGTAAAGCCGTAGATCTACGGGACGGACCCTGAAAGGGTTAAGCAGAAATCCACGATGGCCACCATAAAAAATGGGCACTGAATACAGTCAGGTTTTGACTTAGGACATTTTGCACTTATAACATTGGCACTTTGGAACCAATTAATTCTGGCACCAGGCTTCCTGGTTGCTGGCCTGGTCAATCAGGCCAATAACTGAGACTTGATTGATAAGGCCAATAACTGGGAGGCCTGATCATTCAGGCCAGCAAGTGAGAGACCTGGTCACAGGAGTAATGATCACCCAAGCTATCTACAAGTAGCTACTTATGAACAGTGATCTGCAGTTATTATAACTGTAAATATTAAAAAATTAATAAATTTGATTTTTTCATAGTGCACTTATTCTTTAGATATATTTTATGTATGTTTCAAGAGCTCACATTTGTTTGGTAAAAACTGATAAAGAACCACTGATTGAATATTTACAATTTTCTTAAAACTAAATTATTAATACTTTTTCTCAGCTTAACCCCTTCACTGTCGAGACCCCTGTTCTCAAACTTGCTCTCAGTGTTGAAGAATTAAAAAGAAATAAAAATAAAAAATAAAAATAAATTATTATTATTGTATCTCGTGAAATGAAAATCTTTTTCTGAAGGCAATGAAACCAAAAGCAGGAAATTTGATGGAAAACTTACGGAATTATGCTCTTGCAAATTTAGCAGAATGGTGATATTTATGCAGTGGCGATTTCGCCTACGTTGCGTTTGGTGCATTGTTCCAGTGCACCAAACTCATAGCTATTTTGCTAGTATTCCTTCTATTCTATTGACTGAGTACAAGAAACTGCCCATTTACCTATATCAACTACCCAAAAAAGTGATCAGAAATCAGTAATTTGGCCAATTTCATACAAAATTCAACAATTGCCAGTTTGAAAATAGGGTCCAGAATAAACAGTGTAGACATTCCTGGCACAAAATAAACATATCCTTTGTTCCTTAGTCATGTATCCAGGCCCCTCTAGTATTACAGTTACTTTTCATTTTGAATTTTTACTTACATGAAAAATAGATTTCAGGTATGCCTTGCTACTTCTACTTACACTTAGGTCACACTACACATGCATGTACAAGCATATATGTATGCACCCCTCTGGGTTTTCTTCCTAGTTTTTGTTCTTGTTTATTTCCACTTATCTCCATGGGGAAGTGGAACAGAATTCTTCCTCTGTAAGCCATGCATGTCATAAGAGGCGACTAAAATGCCAGGAGCAAGGGGCTAGTAACCCCTTCTCCTGTATACATTACTGAATTTAAGAAGAGAAACTTTTTTCTTTTTTGGGCCACCTAGCCTTGGTGGGATACAGACAGTTTGTTGAAAGAAGAAGAGGAAATTTATTAAACTAAACTGTCATATCTGGGTGCCTCTGCAAAGACAATGATATTGTGTGAATGATGGTGAAAGTGTTGAATGATGATGAAAGTGTTTCTCTTTTTTTGGTCACCCTGCCTCGGTGGGAGACTGCCATCGAGTTGGGGGAAAAAATCATTAAATGGTTAATAAAATTTTTAAGTGAAAAGGTGGTCACCATCTTGGATTTATGCAAATTTTGCAAAAAATGATGAATGCTACTGTGGTGCCAGTCATCAGATCCTGAATCAAGGGCCCCAAAGAATAATAAATATGGAAATAAAAAATTTGAAGTACAGTACCAACAATTCTAGGTTCACCTGCTTGGCTGCAGGACTACATGTCAATGTTTTCCCTCAAACCACAACACAGCTTACCTTTTATATAGACATTCTTCTCAGTATAGCTTGCCAGGTAATTGAGGAGGAGATCCTTCCAGTAGGATCGGTAGGAAATGAGACCCAGGTCACTCAAGGGCTTTTCCGGTGAGCCAATCTTGCCCTCATTTTTTGTAAGAAGGTAACCTGGAATGCACATTCAGTCATCTTAAAGTAAAAGGCAATATAATACAGTGGAACCTCTACTTGCGAGTTTAATCCGTTCCATGACGTTGCTCACAACTGAATTTGCTCATTTGCAGACTCAATTTACCTCATTTAAATTAACTGAAATGCAATTAATCTGTTCCAGTGGAATTCTGTACTTCAATAATTTCGCTAATATCAACTCTACGGCTTATTTATTTATCTATCTCACTTCATTTAATATGACATAATAAACAATATAATAACACAGAAACCTGATACATGTATATACTCTAAAATGAATAAAATGTGTCATTCATGTAGTGGTATGGGCGGTGGACGAGAGTTTGTCTGGAGACCGGGCAAAATACTTCATGAATAATTTCTCTAATATCATCTATATGGCTTATTTATACATCACAGTTCATCTAATATGACATAACAAACAATATAAATAACAGAAACATGATATATACTCTAGAATGAATAAAATATGTCATTATGTAACAGGTGGAGGTGGCCACAACCGCTCCCTCTTTGTTGTGGTAAACACTGCCAACTAGTGACGGCCTTTTGAAGCTGTCTGTTATGTATTATAATTATTATATGTAGTACATTATTATTATATATGTATTATACACAAATAACTCGCACATAAAAGAGAGAAGCTTACGACAACGTTTCGGTCCAACTTGGACCATTGACAAAGTCACACTAACCAGAAGTGAAGCAGGACGGCTACATGTAGGCATGAACATTGAAATGGTATAAAATACCGACAGATTGTTAGGTAAGACACATATGCAACAGTTAGGTATCTTTATTTCGAAACGTTTCGCCTACACAGTAGGCTTCTTCAGTCGAGTACAGAAAAGTTGATAGAAGCATGATAGGAAAAGTAGTGAATGTACATGCCACTGTGCATAGGTTTTTGGTAAACGGAAAAGGAAAAACCTGTATCTGAGCGGTGGACATGGACATCAAGGAAAGGAAGCAAGGAATTAGATTCCCATTCAACTTTAAACTTAATGGAAGGGGCAAGATTATTAAGAGCTTCAAGAAAAGGTTGGAAGAGACTGGAGTCATGAGGCCACAGAGCAAAAATGTCATCCACATAGTGGAGCCAGAGTGAAGGTTGCACATCGAGGGTAGGAAGAAGAACAGTCTCGAAGTATTCCATGTAAAGATTAGCAAGGACAGGAGAGAAGGAGACCCCATAGCGACACGAAGGTTTGAGAATAATATTTCCCTTGGAAGGAAAAGGAGTTAGAGTTCACACAAAGGCGGATAAGATCAAGAAAGACATCAGTAGGTATAGGGAGATGAAGAAACCCTTCATGGGCCTTCTCTCTAAGGAAATCAAGGACATCATCAAGAGGGACATTGGTGAAGAGGGACTCAACATCAAGACTAGGCATCTTACAAGTTGGGAGAGAGCGAACCTGTTCAATGAAGTCTTGAGAGTGACGGACGTGGGCAGGAGAAAAAGTACCAAGAAAGGGAGTGAGGGTTTTGGCTAGCCAAGAAGCAAGAGAATAAGAGACAGAACCTCTAGAGGATATGATAGGACGGAGAGGAATATCAGGTTTATGAGTTTTGGGAAGGCCATAGAAATAGGGGAGAGAGAGAGATGACACGAAACCATTGAACAAGGTCAAAGTCAGGAGGACAGAGGTCGGAGAGAGTCTTTAGTTTTTTGTTGAAAGTTCTCTTGATGCTATCAAGAGGGTTGGAAACGAGAGGAGTGTAGGTACGTGAGTCAGAGAGCAAGACATCAGCTTTACGGAGGTTATCCTCGCAATCAAGGATAACTACCGAATTACCTTTGTCAGAAGATAGTATGAATGTTAGTGTTGGATTTAAAAGAATAGGCAAGTTGGTAACGGCTTGGAAGGTGGTGATCCTTAGAAAACAGACTAACAAGAGCAGGAAGGAGAGCGCCACGAAAAGTGGACAAGTCAGGAAGATTACGGGAGCGAGATTGACGAAAGGAATCAAAAGAGCTAATCAGGGAAATACCAGTGCGAGGAGTAGGCGAAGTGGCAAAGGAAAGGCTAAAACCAAGAAGTTCAAGCTCATACTGGGAGAGTGAGACAGAAGACAAGTTAGTAACACAGTCAGTGAGGGAGAATTTAGACCAAGGGCTAGCTGAGATGAGACATTGAAGTTTATTCTGTAGTTTAGAAGAATGAATTTGTGTATTCAGGCGAGCAGTGTCAAAGGCAATGGTAGAGAGAAGGTTACAGAGATCCTGTGGTAGAGCCGCAAAGAGAGCACGTTGACATTGACGGAAAGTAAAGAAGGCATCTTCAACCTGTGATTTAGTAGTCACGGTATTGTGCCTTTTTTGTTATTTATGGACCCCGCAGTTAAGCGTCATATTCTCTCCAACTTTTTTAATGTTCTTCCCTCTTTTAAACCCCTCTTTCGATCTTATGAGGCTGCTCTTATTGCTACCAGGCGTCGTAAGAATCAGCTTCGCTTCCTACGTGACTGTCTTGCTGAACAAGTTCTGCCCCCTTCCTTCTCCCACTTCCTGAAAACCAACCCACTGGGCACTCCCTTTCCTGATCATGCCCATCTCCTACTTCAACAGCTCATTCTTTCTACTAAATCACAGTTGAAGATGCCTTCTTTACTTTCCGCAACGTCAACGGCTCTCTTTGCGGCTCTACCACAGGATCTCTGTAACCTTCTCTCAAACCATTGCCTCTGACACTGCTCCTGAATACACAATTCATTTTTCTAACTACAGAATAAACTTCAACGTCTCATCTCGGCTAGCCCTTGGTCTAAATTCTCCCTCACTGACTGTGTTACTAACTTGTCTTCTTCTGTCTCACTCTCCCAGTATGAGCTTGAACTTCTTGGTTTTGGCCTTTCCTTTGCCACTTCGCCTACTCCTCACGCTGGTATTTCCCTGATTAGCTCTTTTGATTCCTTTCGTCAATCTCGCTCCCGTAATCTTCCTGACTTGTCCGCTTTTCGTGGCGCTCTCCTTCCTGCTCTTGTTAGTCTGTTTTCTAAGAATCACCACCTTCCATGCCATTACCAACTTGCCCTTTCTTCTCTTAAATCAAACACTAATATTGTCATACTATCTTCTGACAAAGGTAATTCGGTAGTTATCCTTGATCGCGAGGATTACCTCCATAAAGCTGATGTCATGCTCTCTGACTCATGTACCTACACTCCTCTCATTTCCAACCCTCTTAATCGCATCAAGAGAACTTTCAACAAAAAACTAAGGACTCTCTCCGACCTCTGTCCTCTTGACTTTGACCTTGTTCAACGGTTTCGTGTCATCTGTCCCTCTCTTCTTTATTTCTATGGCCTACCCAAAACTCAAACCTGATATTCCTCTCCGTCCTATCATATCCTCTAGAGGTTCTGTCTCTTATTCTCTTGCTTCTTGGCTAGCCAAAACCTTCACTCCCTTTCTTGGTACTTTTTCTCCTGCCCACCTCCGTCACTCTCAAGACTTCATTGAACGGGTTCGCTCTCTCCCAACCTGTAAGATGCTTAGTCTTGACGGTGAGTCCCTCGTCACCATGTCCCTCTTGATGATGTCCTTGATTTCCTTAGAGAGAAGGCCCATGAAGGGTTTCTTCATCTCCCTATACCTACTGATGTCTTTCTTGATCTTATCCGCCTCTGTGTGGACTAACTCCTTTTCCTTCCAAGGGAAATATTATTCTCAAACCTTCGGTGTCACTATGGGCTCTCCTCTCTCTCCTGTCCTTGCTAATCTTTACATGGAATACTTCGAGACTGTTCTTCTTCCTACCCTCGATGTGCAACCTACACTCTGGCTCTGCTATGTGGATGACATTTTTGCTCTGTGGCCTCATGACTCCAGTCTCTTCCAACCTTTTCTTGAAGCTCTTAATAATCTTGCCCCTTCCATTAAGTTTAAAGCTGAATGGGAATCTAATTCCTTGCTTCCTTTCCTTGATGTCCATGTCCACCGCTCAGATACAGGTTTTTCCTTTTCCGTTTACCGAAAACCTATGCACAGTAGCATGTACATTCACTACTTTTCCTATCATGCTTCCCCTGTCAAGAAAAGTGTTCTTATCTCCCTCTTTCTCCGTGCCCTCCGCATCTGTGATCCTCGGTTCCTTCCAGCAGAAATTTCCACTCTTCATAATTCGTTTTCCCGTCTTGGCTACCCTTCCCATTTCATAGACTCTGCCCTCTCACATGCTAAACGCAATTTCTTCTCTCCCAAACTCTCTACTCCTGGGAACTCTTCTATCCTCTGCCTTCCCTACATTTCCGGTCTTTCTAATCTCAACAATTGTCTCCATCCCTTAGACATCAAGCTTACCTTCCGCCAGACTAATACTCTTCGCACTAATCTCGTTCATACCTCTCCTCCCTCTACAGATGTTCCTGGTGTCTACTCTATTTCTTGCTCCTCCTGTCCTCTTCAATACTTCAGAGAAACTGGTCGATCTCTTTCTGACAGACTTAGGGAGCACAAAAATAGTGTTAGGCTTGCCGACACTAAACTATGCTCTTTTCTGTTACATCAGAGATCATAGCCATCCTATTGACTGGTCTTCTGCTAAAACTGTCTTCCCTACTTCCAACTCGAACAGTCACCGTCTAGTTGAATCCTCTCTAATACACAACTTTCCTTGTATGAACCTTAGCCCTGGCTTCGTCTCTGTAGATGCCTTCCTCTCCCACTACACATTATAAAATGCTCCATACTTCAGAACACCCGTGACTTAACCCGATTCATTTTTTGTTTTTCTTTTTCTTCTTCTCCCTCTTCCCCTTTCCTCTTTCCTTTTCTCCTCTGGGTTGTCTCTCTCTCTTCTGTCTCGTGTTTCTGTTCCTTCTTCATTTATTTCACCACTTCCCCTTTCACGCACCTCTGTGCGCCTGCTCTCCCTCAGTGGGCACCTAGCTCTCTTGCAGTTCTCCCCTTCCTTTGTATCTGACTGGCTCGTCCTCCTCATTTCCCACTTCATACTACAACTACCACTACTACTACCTCCTCTACTACAACTACTGATGAAATTAAGACATGTGCGGCGTCTGGTTGTCTTTGTTGTGGACGTTTCACCATCCAGTGGCTGGTTGGATGGCGAAACATCTACGATAGGGATGCCCGGGTGTTGCACATGTGTCTTAATTTCATCTTGTCGGTATTATATACCATTCTTGTACTACTACTACTACTACTACCACCACCTCTTCCTGCCTACATATAACCATCCTGCTCCACTTCTGGTTAGTGTGACTTTGTCAATGGTCCAAGTTGGACCGAAACGTCGTCGTAAGCTTCACTCTTTTATGTGGGGGTTATTTGTGTATCGTTCCAGTCACGGTATTGTGCCTTTTTTGTTATTTATATATGTATTATAAGAAGAAAAACTTTATAAAACTGGGATGCTTAAATGTGCGTGGATGTAGTGCGGATGACAAGAAACAGATGATTGCTGATGTTATGAATGAAAAGAAGTTGGATGTCCTGGCTCTAAGCGAAACAAAGCTGAAGGGGGTAGGAGAGTTTCAGTGGGGGGAAATAAATGGGATTAAATCTGGAGTATCTGAGAGAGTTAGAGCAAAGGAAGGGGTAGCAGTAATGTTAAATGATCAGTTATGGAAGGAGAAAAGAGAATATGAATGTGTAAATTCAAGAATTATGTGGATTAAAGTAAAGGGTTTGGATGCGAGAAGTGGGTCATAATAAGCGTGTATGCACCTGGAGAAGAGAGGAATGCAGAGGAGAAGAGAGATTTTGGAAGATGTTAAGTGAATGTATAGGAGCCTTTGAACCAAGTGAGAGAGTAATTGTGGTAGGGGACCTGAATGCTAAAGTAGGAGAAACTTTTAGAGAGGTGTGGTAGGTAAGTTTGGGGTGCCAGGTGTAAATGATAATGGGAGCCCTTTGATTGAACTTTGTATAGAAAGGGTTTAGTTATAGGTAATACATATTTTAAGAAAAGAGGATAAATAAGTATACACGATATGATGTAGGGCGAAATGACAGTAGTTTGTTGGATTATGTATTGGTAGATAAAAGACTGTTGAGTAGACTTCAGGATGTACATGTTTATAGAGGGGCCACAGATATATCAGATCACTTTCTAGTTGTAGCTACACTGAGAGTAAAAGGTAGATGGGATACAAGGAGAATAGAAGCATCAGGGAAGAGAGAGGTGAAGGTTTATAAACTAAAAGAGGAGCAGTTAGGGTAAGATATAAACAGCTATTGGAGGATAGATGGGCTAATGAGAGCATAGGCAATGGGGTCGAAGAGGTATGGGGTAGTTTTAAAAATGTAGTGTTTAGAGTGTTCAGCAGAAGTTTGTGGTTACAGGAAAGTGGGTGCAGGAGGGAGGAGGAGTGATTGGTGGAATGATGATGTAAAGAGAGTAGTAAGGGAGAAAAAGTTAGCATATGAGAAGTTTTTACAAAGTAGAAGTGATGCAAGGAGGGAAGAGTATATGGAGAAAAAGAGAAGGTTAAGAGAGTGTGAAGCAATGTAAAAAGAGAGCAAATGAGAGAGTGGGTGAGATGTTATCAACAAATTTTGTTGAAAATAAGAAAAAGTTTTGGAGTGAGATTAACAAGTTAAGAAGCCTAGAGAACAAATGGATTTGTCAGTTAAAAATAGGAGAGGAGAGTTATTAAATGGAGAGTTAGAGGTATTGGGAAGATGGAGGGAATATTTTGAGGAATTGTTAAATGTTGATGAAGATAGGGAAGCTGTGATTTCGTGTATAGGGCAAGGAGGAATAACATCTTGTAGGAGTGAGGAAGAGCCAGTTGTGAGTGTGGGGGAAGTTCGTGAGGCAGTAGGTAAAATGAAAGGGGGTAAGGCAGCCGGATTGATGGGATAAAGATAGAAATGTTAAAAGCAGGTGGGGATATAGTTTTGGAGTGGTTGGTGCAATTATTTAATAAATGTATGGAAGAGGGTAAGGTACCTAGGGATTGGCAGAGAGCATGCATAGTTCCTTTGTATAAAGGCAAAGGGGATAAAAGAGAGTGCAAAATTATAGGGGATAAGTCTGTTGAGTGTACCTGGTAAAGTGTATGGTAGAGTTATAATTGAAAGAATTAAGAGTAAGACGGAGAATAGGATAGCAGATGAACAAGGAGGCTTTAGGAAAGGTAGGGGGTGTGTGGACCAGGTGTTTACAGTGAAACATATAAGTGAACAGTATTTAGATAAGGCTAAAGAGGTCTTTGTGGCATTTAGGATTTGGAAAAGGCGTATGACAGGGTGGATAGGGGGGCAATGTGGCAGATGTTGCAAGTGTATGGTGTAGGAGGTAGGTTACTGAAAGCAGTGAAGAGTTTTTACAAGGATAGTGAGGCTCAAGTTAGAGTATGTAGGAAAGAGGGAAATTATTTCCCAGTAAAAGTAGGCCTTAGACAAGGATGTGTGATGTCACCGTGGTTGTTTAATATATTTATAGATGGGGTTGTAAGAGAAGTAAATGCGTGGGTCTTGGCAAGAGGCGTGGAGTTAAAAGATAAAGAATCACACACAAAGTGGGAGTTGTCACAGCTGCTCTTTGCTGATGACACTGTGCTCTTGGGAGATTCTGAAGAGAAGCTGCAGAGATTGGTGGATGAATTTGGTAGGGTGTGCAAAAGAAGAAAATTAAAGGTGAATACAGGAAAGAGTAAGGTTATGAGGATAACAAAAAGATTAGGTGATGAAAGATTGAATATCAGATTGGAGGGAGAGAGTATGGAGGAGGTGAACGTATTCAGATATTTGGGAGTGGACGTGTCAGCGGATGGGTCTATGAAAGATGAGGTGAATCATAGAATTGATGAGGGAAAAAGAGTGAGTGGTGCACTTAGGAGTCTGTGGAGACAAAGAACTTTGTCCTTGGAGGCAAAGAGGGGAATGTATGAGAGTATAGTTTTACCAACGCTCTTATATGGGTGTGAAGCGTGGGTGATGAATGTTGCAGCGAGGAGAAGGCTGGAGGCAGTGGAGATGTCATGTCTGAGGGCAATGTGTGGTGTGAATATAATGCAGAGAATTCGTAGTTTGGAAGTTAGGAGGAGGTGCGGGATTACCAAAACTGTTTCCAGAGGGCTGAGGAAGGGTTGTTGAGGTGGTTCGGACATGTAGAGAGAATGGAGCGAAACAGAATGACTTCAAGAGTGTATCAGTCTGTAGTGGAAGGAAGGCGGGTAGGGGTCGGCCTAGGAAGGGTTGGAGGGAGGGGTAAAGGAGGTTTTGTGTGCGAGGGGCTTGGACTTCCAGCAGGCATGCGTGAGCGTGTTTGATAGGAGTGAATGGAGACAAATGGTTTTTAATACTTGACGTGCTGTTGGAGTGTGAGCAAAGTAACATTTATGAAGGGATTCAGGGAAACCGGCAGGCCGGACTTGAGTCCTGGAGATGGGAAGTACAGTGCCTGCACTCTGAAGGAGGGGTGTTAATGTTGCAGTTTAAAAACTGTAGTGTAAAGCACCCTTCTGGCAAGACAGTGATGGAGTGAATGATGGTGAAAGTTTTTCTTTTTCGGGCCACCCTGCCTTGGTGGGAATCGGCCAGTGTGATAATAATAAAAATTATTATTATACATATTATTATTATACATATTATTATACATATTATTGTTATTATTATTCAATTTGTAATTTTTATTCACACAAAAAATACAAGATTTACTGTTTTTCCATATTGCAATAATTGTATAAATAATGTCAACCCATTCACGACTGCACACTGGAATGGACAGTGTTTACTCTGAAACAGCCAAGCAATGGACCATTTCTCCTAGGTTGAGCTCTATTACAAGGTACTTTTAGTCATGAAAGCAATCAAAATCATATCTATTTCTGTAATATATCTTCCATTCTATCAAATGAGACTAAAAAAACGAGAATACAGCCATAAAAACCATTCGAAATTACCGCTAAGGGGTGGCTAATTGCTGAGAAGTGAACTCCATTATTTATGCTTAATTTCTTTCATTTTTTGGTGTACGTTAAGAAGCATCTTTCCATCATACATTGCCTAAGTTTCAATAAGACAGTCCAACAAACAAATGAGATACAATTCCTGAGATCAAGAGCAAGAGCCCCTCACCAGTGTTAAGGAACCTGCCTTCAGGTCACACGTGGACATGCTCGCAAGTAGAGGTTCCACTGCATAACAATGAACATAAGGACAATTCTCTAAAATCAAACACCTGAGGAATGTGAATTTGAGGAACCGGCAATCTCAGTGATTGCTTTAAGCATTGATAACTTTTAGAAACTGTCACCGAGAGGAACTTCTGATATTTGTCTTATTTTGCCAGCCATGTGACATTTTATACTGTTTTACATGCGTAAACATTTCCTCAAATTTCAGAGAATGTATGCCTAGAGCTTCTAGTTAATTCAGAAACTATGAAATACCACATACATACCTGTGATTGGTGTCATAGCCTCAAACCTTTACATCCCAGTCTGAGGCTAAGCTTCCTTGCTGTCTGATCAACCAGGCTGCTGCTGATAGTGACCCACAGGCCTACACAGCCTGTCTGTTATAAAAGATGGGGCAGGCAAGAGGTAAAGCAAGTAGTAGAGGAGCAGGAGGCTTAAGAAGAGGATGAGGAAAAGGTGGTTTAGGTAGTGGTAGTGAAGGGAGGAGTTATCCACAGATCACATTCACACAAACTCAAAACAAGCTGGAATGAAGAATTTTTCCAATTTAATGTAATACTGGTAATGTTAGTACTGTAAAGTATAGGAAGGTAGGCAACATTTGAGTGAGTGAGAGTGGGTTAATGATGAAAGGACATGCAAAAGTGGGCAAAGACAACATGGCAGGTAAAATATGACTTTCACTCCAACTCCAATCATCTCAAAGTTATGGGAATAGGTAAAAGAAAGGAAAGCGCATACTCACTAAAGTCTATGAGGAGTCTACCGAAGCCCTGCCGCTGGTATGGAGGCAGCGTCATAATGCAGGACACATTGTAATTGAGGAAGCTGTTCTTTTC